GGGGTGATAAGGATGGCTAAAACGCGAGATGCCATTTCGGGGAAAAATATTTTCTTTAAAATAAATAGTGAAGGCTCCCACGGTGAGATAAGGAAATGAGATATTGTGAATTTATTTATGATTTGGGACTACGAGGCTGTACCTCGGGAGTGCCCTTGTTGATATTGATTTATGGCCGAAATTGCCTTTGATTATTGTTGTGATTTTCTTAAAGTTGAAAGGAAATTTTATTTTATTTCCATGAGATATTATTTGCCATTATTTGGTATAATTAAATGGTGACATGCTACTTGATTAATTTTTATTTTTATTTTATCTTATTATATTGTTAAACATTTTACCATATTGTTATTTATTTTCCAGTAGGGCCTGACTTGACCTCGTCACTACTATACCGAGGTTAGGCTTGGCACTTACTGGGTACCTCTGTGGCGTACTCATACTACGCTTCTGCACATCTTTTTGTGCAGATCCAGGTACATCTTATCAGACTAGGTATCAGTAAACTAGTTGTACGAGGAGACTTCGAGGTATATCTGCCAGCGTCTGCAGACTCCGGAGTCCCCTTCTATCTTACTATGGTGTCTTCCTTATTTGCTTTAGACTTTGATGTATAAAGACATATAGAATAAATTCTTAGAAGCCTGTGACTTATTTCTACCAGGTTTTGGGAGTTGAAATTTTGTAAATTTTCAGATTTATTTATTTCAAATTTCTATTTTATTCCACATTGATAGGCTTACCTAGTCTTAGAGAATAGGTGCCATCATAACATACTACGGAGGGAATTTGGGGTTGTGACATTCGCGATCGCGTGTGGTTGTCCGCGATTGTGTAGAGCAAATGACTGGGCAGAGAGTTTAAGTTCTGGAAATGGGACTTTGTCCCATTTTCCATTTTTACCGATTTGGAGCTCGGAGAGAGAGAATTTTTGGGAGATTTTTAAGAAAAACAACGGGGTAAGTGTTTCTAACTCAATATTGGTTAAATTACCCGAATCCATAGTTGTTTTTGGCATTTAATTAGTGAATTAAGTTGAAGATTTAGAAAACCCTCTTGGTTTAAATTGAAGATTTGAGGGTAGAGTTGAGGTCGGATTTTCATAAAATTGGTATGGTTAGACTCGTGGTTGAGTGAGCTTTCAGATTTTGTAACTTTTGTTAGGTTCCGATGCGTGGGCCCCACAGGCGATTTTTGAGCAAAATTTTGGATTTTATTGAAAAATTAGTATTTCTTTATGGAATTAATTCCAATAAATTTTATTGACTGAATCGAATTAATTGTGGCTAGATTCGAGGCATTTGGAGGCCAATTCATGAGGCAAATGCTTAGCGGAATAAGAATTTCACGGTTTGAGGTAAGTAGCAATTTTTAAATTTGGTCACGAGGGTATGAAACCCCGAATTTTTGTGTCATGTGATTATTTTGGAGGTGACACACATGCTAGGTGACGGGCGTGTGGGCGTGCACCGAGGAGATTATGACTTGGTCCGTCCCGTGAAACTGTGAAGTTGAATAATCTGTTGTTATCTATACATTCTCCATGTAGTTGAGAAATTGAACCACAAATCATGCTTAGATTATATGTTGGCACTGTAGGGGCCCACAGAGGTCGTGTACATGTTGAACTATATGGTTAATTGTTGTTTTGTACTCAGTCACAATTTACTTGTTTATTTTATCTCAGTTTCTATTGTTCATTATTGATGCATCATATCATTGTTGTTGGGCTGATTTCATAATTTCTAGGAGCCCAAGAGACTGGAGAGTTTTATGACTAAGTGAGGCCGAGGGCCTGATTATGAGATATTATTATAACACATGAGTTTTTCGTGCAGCACGTGAGTTGTCCGTGCGGATCCAGATATTATTATACTATAGCATGTGAGTTGTCCATGCGGATCCAGATATTATACTATAGCACGTGAGTTGTCCGTGCAGATCCAGATATTGATACTATAGCACGTGAGTTGTCCATGCAGCACGGAAGTTGTCCGTGTGGAATATAGCGCTTGGGCTGTAGGTGCCCCTCCGGAGTCTGTACACCCCCAGTGAGCGCGGGTACCCATTGAGTGTGAGTGCTAAGGGCTGAGAGCCGAGTGGTTGAGTTGTTGTGACGAGTTGAGTGACTGTTGCCCTGAGAGACCGTACTTGCTTTTTATTTGTTGTTGCACTTAGTTGCTATCTGTCTTTGTTTTGAAATCTCTGAAAGATTTTATTTTTGGATTACATTGAACTGTATAAAATTGATTTGACTTAAACTGCCGTATTTGAAAACATGTCTATTCTTTGCTGGAATTACTGAAAATTAACTATAACTGTGTAGTTCATCACTATCTTCAGTTCCTTATTTGTTATTGTTACTTGCCGAGTTTGTTGTACTCATACTACACCCTGTACTTCGTGTGCCGATCCAGGTATTTCCGGACATAGCAGGTGTTGATTCTTTTGCACGGTTGACTCTTTGGAGATTCAGAGGTAGCTGCCGTATTTCGCAGACCTTGCCTCTCCCTCCCTATCTCCTTGTTTACTGTATTTGGTCTTAGACTATTATAGACCATATTTTCTAGACTTGTATTCATATTAGATGCTCATGTACTCAGTGACATCGGGTTTTGGGAGTGTTTATATATGTATTTGTGAATTTTCTTCCGCTGAATTTAATCATTATGTTTTTACACTTAAAAGATATAAGAGTTTATTGAGATTTTCGGCTTGCCTAGTATTGATATAGTCACCATCATGACAGGTAATATTTTGGGTCGTGACAAGTTAGTACCAGAGCTTTAGGTGACATAGGTTTCACGAGTCACGAGCAGGTTTAGTATAGTCTTGCGGATCGGTACAGTGACGTCTGTACTTATCTTCGGGAGGCTGTCGAACCCTTAGGAAATTTTTCCTTTCTTGTATTCTATCGTGCTGATTCAGCTTGAAACATAACTCTTTGAATTCCTTTCACACATTTTTGTGCGTATGTGAGCGCTCAGTATCAACTGTGCCTCGCTGGCTTGTGATTCCATGAACGAGGTTCGAGATGTGTATTTTGTGTTTTGGTGATAGGCCAGTCTGGAGGACTTGAGGCTAGGGTTGGACCGCAGCTTAAGCTCAGTAGCTTCAGTTGTAACGTGTACATTTGGACTCATATGTTCAGTAATGTCCCTACGAGTGGAATTTGTGGCTCGATGAGCGGCGGAAATGACTATATGATGAGTATGATGTGAATGTGGCATGTGTCAGGTGGGTTGAATGAGACGGATAAAATTTACTTGTGACTCAAGAGTCTGCTATTGGGTACTTGATACTTGTTTTGATGTGACGTACAATCTTGAGCTGTGAGTGCGTTGAGGGATCTGTCATGTTATTTAATTATGGAACGAAGTAGATTTTCATGCGTGTTGATGAGTTCAAACTTATAAATATTAAGTGATTCCGTGGTAAATGTGGGTGCGAAAGGATATAACAAGATGCCAATTTGAGACTAAGCAGGTGGGTTATCTCCTGCGGAGTAATCTACATAGGTGTACTCCTTATAATGTTGAGTGGAGAGTTTATTTTCTACCAGCGGAGCGTATGTGTTGAGATTTGAATTTGAATCTGGTTGAGAAAGTTGACTTGATTGTCACGAGAATAAATGCGAACTTAGCCGATGATTGAGGTACTTTATGGTGGGTATTGCATAAGTTTTAGAAGAATTTTCGTTGAACTGACAACAATATCATGGCAGTAATAAAGTATTAGTATTATGAGTTATAGAGTGTTTTGTTCTATGGCTTTGAGCCAAGCGGGGGAGTCTGCTATTGATAATTCAATTTCATGGATATATGTTAAATATTAGTTTTGGTGTGAGGCATACCTGTGGTTTAGTTATGACTTATAGAGGTGGAGATCGAGGATGACTTGGGTAAGTATATTCCTGGATACGGGTTACATTGAACTTTATGAAAATATAAAAATTATGGAATGATTAAGTTGTTATTTTAAAGGATGTAGTGCACACGAAGTATGAATTTGATTGGTCGTGTTAAGGCAGTGTTACTTATTTGAGTGTTGATTGTGCTAAAGGAGCACATGTGTTTCGTCCCGTTTGGGGCGGAGTAAATTAGTTTTGAGCAGAGTGGAGGACTATCGAGAGGGTTCTAATGGATTCAAAATGTATATGTGAAAAATAATTTTTTTTTAAATTTGTATATCACTAGAATCAGTTATTTACATTGGATGGTATCAGGACGTGCGGTAATTCTGTTTGACTATGGATTCTACGTTTAAGTATAAGAAAGGAAAGAGGAACAATTTTAAATTCGCATAAGGTATTTTTAAAGTGAGTGTTACAGTTGGGGTATTTATGAAGGTGCTTAAGAAGAATACAATGGCTTATAGGCCTTAGGGCGATGTGGTTTTATGTTAGGATGTCTTGTAGTGTCACGACCCCAAATTCCCTCTGTAGGATGTCGTGATGGCACCTAGTCTCTAAGACTAGGTAAGCCTATCAATGCGGAAATAACAATAGAAATCTAAAATAAATGAAACTGCAATTCAAATAATTACAACTCCCAAAACCCGGTAGATTTTATCCCCAATGTCTCTATATATCAGAGTCTAAAAAAAATAAGAAAATAACATAATAAGGATCGAAGGGGACTCCGGAGTCTGCGGACGCTGACAGATATACCTCGAAGTTTCCGTACACAGGTAGCTCACTGATGTCTGGGCTGGTGGGATGTACCTGGATCTGCAAAAAAGGATGTGCAGAAGTGTAGTATGAGTACACCATATCGGTACCCAATAAGTGCCAAACCTAACCTTGATAGAGTAGTGACGAGGTTATGTCAGGCCCTGCTGGAATAATAAAGGACATGTGTTAACAATATTCTACTATCTAATAAAGCGGCATAAGCACACATCAGGTCAACATGCATGCCTGTATGCTTGAGGGCATAATCGTCTTTTAGGTTTATTTTGGGTCTTTCAAAATATGTCAAGGCCGCCGTTGGATTCAACACTATCATCAACTTTTCCAAATTGCTCTGTCTGGTGCTTCACATGCCTCACAGGCTCAGAGTAGGGCACGTCATGTTTTCGCTTTTGAGTAAACAGTGGGCAAACAAAAGATTTTACGATTCCTCATGTATAGTCTTCTCTCGGCTTACACTTTCTTTCGTCTCTCAGTTTATACTTTCGCTCTTGGTTTTTCTTGCTGTTGCCAGGTTTCTAGCCGACCATTTTTGGGTGAGTTCAGTTTTTACTGTATTATTTCCATTTTTCCCTTCTGTTTAAAACCACTCCGTCCTCAAGGGATCTGCGGTGGTAAATTTTTTATTTATTTGGCGGATTTACGGATCGGGATACAGAGATAATGATGGGGATAGGTAAGTGATTAAGCACGAATAATACTTCTCTAGGTAGTCGGTAAAACTGCTTGCTAACTCTAAAGTTATTTTGGATAATAACATTGTATTTATTTGGCAATTAGTGTTGAATTGAACAAGCGAAAGATGGAGTATTCCAACCAAATACTGGGTAGAGGAAAATAGGATAACCAAGGATTCTTGGCCGGGCCAAATTTTTTGGGTACAACCATTTCTGAAAATTGTACCCATGAGATAATTCCCAGCTTTGGTCTAGAAATTCCCTTTTTGGATGAATGAGTCTTTAGCCATTCTCCTCAACAAGAGATATGCTTATATGATACAAGTTTAAGCACTTTTTTTCTGTGATTTTAGCTACTATAACTGTTGATAGCCATTACCTGTGAAATGTTTTTTTTTCTTTTTTATAATAGAGTACTCATGATAAAGGTTAATTTGGTCACTTTTTTAACCATAAAATATAATATGTGTTTCCCAAACATTTCATGAAGTATTGTTGCTGCAAATATCTACAGGTATAAAAGGAACTTGAACTTGCATAACTGATGGATTCCAAAAAAGGGATAATTGTCTACATGGAGAAAAAAGGAAGGCTGCAATGCAACTCAAACGTCGCGATACATACAACCAAATATCTCCTACTAGAAGGGATGCATTACTGTTATCACGGCGTATGAGAAAACAAGACACTGCAAGGCATAACCTTGCTGAAAATGCAATTGTTGCTATCTCAGAGCAGGCATCATCATCTTTATACAAAGCTGGATTCCCAAAACAAACTGCGCTTACCATACGAGAACCTCATGCCCTTCTTGAAAAAGGTTATAATGTTGTACTCATTGTACCATACATATTGATAAAGTAGTCTTTCGTTTTTCCTTGGTACAATGTGTTTGACACCTTAGTTGTCTTACATGTGTGTATAAGTAAAACATTGAAAATATTTTGTGCTCATACGCTCTGTTTTTCAGTTATTAAAGCTTTAGTGTACACATTTAAAGCTCTTGCCTATTTCTCTAACAGTTGCTAGCTATCAACTTTGTGCGACTACATCCCGCGATAATGTGGAAAAAGGAAAAGATATATGCAATCCTCTTGTCATTCCCGAAATGGGTAAGCTTACCCTTTATATTTTTTTTCCCAACGTGCCATAATGGTTGCACATTATCGTTATCTCTGACTATTGCATATAAGGATGCACATCGCGTACATCTGACCACTGTGTTTCGACCTCAAGCACAGTTCCAACTAAAGGTTTGCACAAACTACGTCTTATAAATAATTTCTACAATTAGTGTGCCTTCCAACTCCCTTCTCTTCTAATGGTAGTTCTTCAACATTCAGGTCATACCCACGCCAAAAAAATCTGTCTTGCGACTAGGGAGCAACGAGATGCGTATGTTTCTCTGAAAAAAGTTGCAAACTGCCAATATTGTGCTGCAAAAAGGTTCGAATATGAACCTCCAACATTTTGTTGTGGCAGTGGTTCAATAAGGCTAACCGCACATAAAATGCCAATTGAATTATCAAAGCTATACTTTGAAAACACGGAAGAATCCGAACATTTTCGAACTTACATTAGAATGTACAATAATATGTTTGCATTTACTTCATTTGGTGTAAAGTACGATAAAGAATTGGCAAAAAGAAACTGTGGTATTTACACATTTAGAGTCTAGGGACAGATATATCATTTCATAGATGATTTGGTTCCTTGTAACGAAAAACCAAAGAATTTACAATTATACTTTTATGATCGTGATAACAAATTAGCCAACAGAATGGCTTGTTCAACAAGAGTTAACAAATCAATAGTGCAAAAGTTGATGGGCATATTAAAAGTCAATCCATACACTGTTTTCCTACGATCTCTCTTAAATGTTCCGAAGTTATCAGATTTTTATATTGCACTTAGATGTGACTCAGCCTTAGACCAATGAACATATAACTTACCCAGTGCATCAGAGATTGCAGCAATATGGGAAGAAACTTCTGGAAATACTATTTCTGCACCACATATACGTATTTATACCCATAGTAATAGAGCTCAATTAGTAAATTATTACTACGGCTGTTATGATCCTTTGCAGTATCCCTTATTGTTTCCGTATGGTGAAAATGGATGGCATTGTGGAATAAAAAAAATTACTCACATGAATAATCTGACAAGGAATAGAGTTCACTGTGAACATGAGCAGCTGCCCAGCATAGAAAATATGTGTTCAGTTGACGGATTTCTCGACATGGAAGCAGAATCGCTGCAAAAAGGAAAACGAAAAAGAGATACAGTATCATGTCGAGAGTATTACTGTTACAAATTTCAAATAAGAGATAATGAAACAAACGAAGTAGTACATTGTGGAAGAATATTTCAACAATTTATAGTAGACGCATATATAAAGCTTGAAACACAAAGATTAGACTTTTTCACATTTAATCAGGATTTATTTAGAATTGAAGTGTTGCAAGGAATTCTTGACATTTTGAGATATGGTGAAAGAGAAGCCTCTAAAATCGGAAAGAAAACATTCCTCCCTATTACATTTATAGGTGGACCAAGGGATATGCGTCAACGATATATGGATGCTATCGCATTGGTGCAATGTTTTGAAAAACCTGATTTGTTTATAACAATGACGTGTAATCCATCTTAGCCAGAAATAAAAGAACATCTATGATCCAGTGATGAGGTACAAAATAGACCTGATTTAGTTAGTAGAGTATTCAGAGCAAAAATAGAAGAACTAAAAAAAGATATATTGAAAAGGCAAATCTTTGGAAAAGTTGCAGGATTTATGTACACTATAGAATTCCAAAAACGCGGTCTTCCACATGCTCATTTTCTTATAATACTTGTTGATGAAGACAAATTATTGACTCCTGAATCTTATGATAAATTTGTTTGTGCGGAATTGCCTAATGCTATTAAAGATTGTTATTTGTATTCACTTGTTACTCAACATATGATGCACGATCCCTGTGGAAGGTTAAATCCGACAAATATTTGCATGAAAAAGAGTAATTGCAAATTCAAATATCCAAGAGATTTTGCTGATAAAACGTCAAAAGGAAAAAATTCTTATCCAATATATAGAAGGCGAAAAACTGGAGAAACTGCAAAAATAAGAACTCAGTTTTTAGACAATTCGTGGGTTGTTCCATATAATCCTTTTTTGTTATGCAAGTATAACTGCCATTTGAATATAGAAGTTTGTTCTGATATCAAAGTAGTTAAATATATTTACAAATATATTTGTAAAGGACATGATAAAATTGCGTTTCGTATACATAACAGTGATACAGATACAGACATAAACGAAATAAAAGAATATCAATCGGCTAGATGGGTTTCACCTCCGGAAGCTGCTTGGCGTTTATTTAGTTTCCCAATTAGTGAAATGACTCCAGCTGTATATCACCTTCAGTTACATTTAGAAGGACACCAATTTGTTTCCTTTAAAAGTTCTGAAAGTATAGATAGAATTATTGGAAATCCGATGATTAGAAAAACAATGTTAACTGAATTCTTTGTTATGAACCACACAAATAAAGATGCTATGCAGCTTTCGTTATTGTATAAAGAATTTCATTTCCCAAATACTTTGTATGGTCTACAACATATAAAATGTGGACACGTCACATAAAAGGCAAAGTTATTGGACGTGTTGTGACATGTCATCCAACAGAAGGAGAAAGATATTACCTGAGATTACTGTTGATGAATGTTAGAGGACCCAAATCATATCAAGATTTACTAACAGTTGATGGAATATCTTGTAGTACATTTAGAGAGTCTGCAGAAAAAAGAGGATTATTGCACTGTGATAACAGTTTAGTCGAATGTATGTTTGAAGCTGTAAGTTATCAAATGCCATATAGTTTAAGATGCTTATTTGCAACATTATTGGTGTATTGTAATCCTGCTAATCCGGCAGAGCTTTGGAAACAATTTGAAGATTCAATGTCAGAAGACTTTAAGATTCTACCGAACACGAATGCGAAAGATATTCGTTACATGACTTTAAATCATATTAATGACATTTTGCATTTGATGGGGAATTATATTAATGAATATAATCTTGTGTCTGAAAGAATTACACTGTCACCAGCTGTTAGAGAAGCCAAAAATTGTCATTTCGAAAGAAATATTACTGTTAGAGAAGAGGATTTATTACTAGAGGCAAAGTTGAACACTGAACAACGAAAAGCGTATGATAAAATTCTTAACAGGATATTTTCTAACCAACTAGGTGCCTTTTTTATTGACGGGCCTGGTGGAACAGGAAAAACTTTTTTATACCGTGCTTTGTTGGCTGTTGTACGATCAAAAGGCTTTGTCGCTTTAGCAACAACAACTTCAGGGGTTGCGGCTTCGATCCTCCCAGGAGGACGAACTGCTCACTCCCGGTTTAAATTCCCTATTGAAATTGATAAACAATACTCTTGTAATATTAGTAAACAAAGTTCATTAGCAGCTTTAATACATGATGCCAAACTCATTGTGTGGGATGAAGTATCTATGGCAAAAAGGAAAGTGATAGAAGCTTTTGATGTTCTCTTGAAGGATCTGATGGATACAAAAGCTCCATTTGGGGGGAAAAGTAGTTGTTTTCGGTGGTGACTTTAGACAAACCCTCCCGGTTGTTCGAAGTGGAAAAAAGAAGATTTTATTCAAGAAAGCTTATTGTATTCTGAAATTCGAAATCAACTTGAGAAACTGCGACTATCAGAAAATATGCGAGCTAAAACAGATCCTATGTTTTGTGAATATTTGTTGAGAATAGGAAATGGAGAAGAAAAAACAGATAACTATGATAAAATAGAAATTTCTGATTATTTTGTTATTCCTTTCATTTCTGAAAAAGAATCATTAGATCTGTCATGGGCTGCTTTCCATCATCGACCCATTACCCCTTGGACGCGCCCCGTGGCGTCCCAGCAAGCCTCCCAACGCCTAGCGCCACGGTCGGCC